ATGTATGTAACACTGAAATCTTAACATAAATATATTACTTTCCATTTATAAATCTTGTGTATCCGCGTGCAGTTTGTTAACAAAGTACAAAATCTTTCCCACTGTTATAGTATAAAAATGATCAGTCTTAAAGAAACAGTCATAAAGACAACATACTGCACAAAAATACTTCCTGTTCCTTACATTAAATTTTCAACATCTAAAGTAATATATTAACAGTACTAAAAAGTACTAAAAAGTACCAACAGTACTAATATTTCGTTTGTATTAACGTTGCTATGACTGAGAATGGATATAGTAATAATGGCAATGATGTAGATAAAAGTACAATAAAAGCAAATCATTATAATAACTTCATAAAATAAAATCCAATGTTGCCACTAGTGTATTGGCCATTTGATTTTTCTGTTTTACCATTTTTGTGCAGCATGATAAATGAAGAGTACAATGTGCAATTTGTGCAATATTCTGTTACTTAAAAAGAAAGATAAGAAAATTGATACATGAATGTGTAACAGCGAAAGACAGAGAGCACATTTTGAAGATTCAGTGCAATTTTTAGGCATTATAACTGTGGATAACTGTCTGCTTACACAGTTTCGTATTCGCGACGTATTGAACGTGCCAAACAACATGCGAAGATTACTCCAACCAACTATAATCATAAAAATTGTATTATATTAGTTAATTTAACATACAGTTGTTAATATTAGTTTACTGTCTATTTTTAATTAGTTTAACCATTGAGCTGATAAATACATACAATATAAGTACTCTGAATGTATATAAACATATTAGAAGAGATTTTCTATAATGTACATCTAAAAAGTATGCTATTATAAAGTTTCAAACAAAATTGAGAACACAAAGGATAAAAAATGGTAAAAGAAACTATATCCAAAAGATTATAATAGCAATTCAGTTAAACTCCTGTTATTGAAAACAACAATTACGCGAACTGTAGAAAATTAATATCCATTATCACATGTAGATAAAATAATTACCTGAATAATAGCAATGCCAATGCCTACACCACCCAAAATTAATGCATTATGCTCAATAGCATTTTGGAGACTGTGCATACATCCACCTTCATATATGTAAATTGAATTTATGTCACATTTGCTTCCTTTTGGTACTTCCCTACAGCAGGAATTTGGTAAAGTATTGTCTGAGAAACCAACTTCAGCCCAATCCAGAGGACCATTCTTTCCACAACATTGGAGCTATAATTTTATGATCAATTTTGTATTAATTGTATGTTCACTTAGATAGCGAAATTTGAACAAAATAATTTATCAATTAACTATTAGTTTTTTAAGGGTTTCATACATTGTTAACATTGTATTTCAGTTTTCTTGCGAGTTACAGATATTTTTTCGACTAGGTATATTTTATCAATCTATATCATATTAAATTAAATACTACAAGTTAAATATTACTAGAAAAGTATGAATTGTAGACAAATAAATAATTATGTTAACATAAATACACTCTTTCTATTAATAATGTATACTTATCTGGAACAGAAATTCAATTTAATTTTGGAAAACATATATTGTGTATATTTACATCGTGATGTACAATATCCCATGACTTGCGAGTGCTTGCTTCAGTTTGATATTCCTTCATAGTACTGGTCATTCTATTTTCTACCATTTGCCGAACTTCACTCTGCATCAAATATCCGGAAATACCGGCAACGAGCTCCAGTACAAAGATTAGGAGTAGTAATACTGAAAACTATATAACAAAATTCTATATATATAATGTATTCTTTTAATTGTATTTCCAAGTACATTTCTTTTAAACTCATATAATACAGTTCAAGTTTTTTTTTATGCTAAATTATAATACTTCTAAGAATTATTTATAATATATAAAAATTGAACCAATTATTATGTTATATTTAGTCTTTTAATTACACAAAAGTAAATAACTTTAAAGTATATTTCAAAAGTTGCATAGGGTGACAATTAAAGTCTTCAATTTTTCTATAGCATATAGTTACTCTATTAATGATTATATTAAATAAGAAAATACGAGAGTACTCAATGAAAAACTAACTTGGCAATGAACTATTTGCTTCGTCAAATTTGAAAAATACTTAAAATTCCACAGCTT